TTCTTAATCCTTAAGGAATTGAAAGAAAACATAGGGAACAATCACCCATGTTTTGAGGAGTTGAATCTATGGGCTCAAGTGTATAATGTGCCGCTTTATTGGATGACTGCGGAGGTGGGTTTCAAAATTGTACGATTGTTCAAGAGTGTGAGAAATGTAGTTGTTTCTAAAGTAGGTGGAGTGGGAGAAGGAATAGTAATTAGGCTACATGTGAAAGTTAATGTTCGTGAGCCTCTATTAAGATGTACTAATGTAAGGTTAGACAATCAAGTGGCTAACGTAAATTTTAAGTACAAAAAGTTACTGAACTTGTGCTAGTACTGCAGCAAGCTAGGTCATCCAGATCGGTCATGTGATATCAGGTTGGAGGATATAGCTCAAAATAAGTTGCAAGTAGGACATTATGGGGAGTGGCTGAAAGTTGGTGATGGCTAAATTGTTTCGGGTGTAAACCAATCAAGTAACCCGGGGTCTATGGAAACTCAGCAAACATGCCAACACATTCAATCCAATTCTTCTGCCATAGAAGCTGAAAAGAGAACCCAACAAGGAGGTGAAAAAAGACCAATTGATAAATTCTCCTCTTACTGATGTTCAAGTACAAGGCCAACAATATGAAAACAGAGAAAAATAAAGTTCAAACAGTATTACATAAATTAAACTAATTCCTTTACAATCATCTTCTTTAGCTCTACTGTTGGAAGATAGGTCCAGAGGATAAAAAAAGATTTAAAGGAAAGCTTGGTTTGAGAGGCAATGCAAGAAGATAACAACCTAGTTATCATGGAGGAAGAAACAAGTGCACAAGATTCAGAGAAGTCTTTTCTACAGATAAAAGCCAATACTTGGAAGATATTTGTTTCCAAGGAAGGAATGCTAAAGAGAACTTCAATGCTTCAGGTAGAAAAATCGGTGGAAAAAAAAAACTTTAAAATTACCAAGACTAAAGGAAGGGGATTAAGAAATGGGAATTGAATAATTGAAACAGAGAATAGAGGGGGATAAGAAACTGAAGCAGCTTCAAGGGGAGGTGGGGGCATCCATCCTTGAATGGCCCCCATGTGAACAATGAGAATTGTGGTTATTAGAATATTCACTTGTGAGTTATTCCACATCGTTTATATAGAGAAAATAGACCTAACTTATAAGCCTAATGGGCTACTCCTCCTTCCACCAATTGGTTTTGGGATGGAAGCTCACTTGGGCTTCATCTGAGTTTTCTTTGTCTTGGTGCGCTTCATCTGCGTGGGACCGCACCCGTTTTTTCCCATGTTTCTTACATGGTATCAGAGTCGTTTATATTGGGGACCGTGCGATGACATACCCATTTCACCACGTATCCGTTTATGGGAGCCTGTTTCCAGTAGAGTTTGGGGCTTTTTATTAGAGATGTCAAAACGGGCCGGCGGGGCGGGCTGGCCCGCAGCCCGCCAAAACCCATCTTGGCGGGCCTATAAAAGGGCAGCCTGGCCTAACCCCACCGCGGGCCGCGGGCTAGGCGGGCCAGCCCGCCGAAATAAAAATAATAATAAAAAAAAACTGATATCTCATGGTCATATATAATATCTCTAAGAATGTATTGAAATACTTATTAAATGACAAATATTTCTTGCATATCTACCATGGTTACACATAATTGTTGTGCTCTTTTTTTTTTTCTTTTTTCTCATTATTGTTATGACATATTTTGTTATCACTTTCTTAATCTACAAAGCTACAATTTACAAAAGAAATTTCTATCTAACTAATGAGTGGTTTCATGTTAGGAATGTGGTTTTGTTAGATAATTTTCTTTTCTGTATTATAGTAAAAAATGATGCTTTGACAATACCAGATATCTTTCTTTTATTTTTTTTTTATATAAACATCCCAGATTGGGATGGGGGGTTGAGGCTACACCCCCGACCTGTGAATATAATGGCCCAGCTAGGGATAAAAAAGTCAATGGTC